TGGATATGTTATAAATAAATATGTCTAGTATCTAAAATAAAATGGGTAAGATTTAATTATATTCTGAAATTGGAAAATTATTTAGTCGATTAGGAGTTGCTTGGTAATAAATCCTAAAACCAAAGAATTAGACTTGTACAAAATTAATGGGTTTGGAATAAACTAAATGGGCTTAGACTAAATAAAATAGAATTAAATAAGGTAAATGGACTTAGGATAAAGTTAATGGGCTTGGATTAAAGTAAATGGACTTGGACCTTCTTTTAAATATTAATGAAACTAATGAACAATATTAATGAGCGGAGGTTGTGTTCCCGCTATGAGTATCATGATTGTTATGTGAGCAACGGGTAAATATCGAGTGTGGATTGGACCATGAGTATGGCATGAGAATGAAAGGTTGGTAACCGAATTTGGTTGAATGTGATTAAATATGTCATCACGTGCATCATTTGCATAGTGGGTGGTTTAAGACAAGTCAATTGATTGAGAAATTGTTTATACATTTAGGTTTGATAACCTAACTGGAATAAATGGGTATTAGTAGTCCAAGTACTCTAAGCCGTGTGCTCGCACTATTAGATGATGGATTTTCGCTAATAGTAGTTACAACGAGGGATAATTCCGTTGTAGCAGAAGATGATCCGAGGATCATTTGGATGAAATCAAGTCGTGTGCTTGCACTCGTTAGACGATGGATTCCCACTAACGAGTAGTTACAACGAAGGTTAATTTCGTTGTAGCGGAAGGTGATCTCGCGGATCACCCGGATGATAAATAGAGTAGATTGGCTAATACCCGTGGTACCCGATATTAAAATTGATGAGTATGGTGGGAAGTCAAAACAACATTGCATATCACGTGCATCACCCCGCTTACCGAGCTTCGGCTCACCATGTTGTTATTTTTTTTTATGTCTTGATAGAAAAAGGACAAGTTGGTACGGATGCGGCCGCCTCCTCCTAACTCGGCTCATGTGAGACACCATATATTAGTTTTTATTTTATCTCGTAAATTTAGGGTATGGAGTTCGTGAGAAATTGAATATCACCTATAATGTTTTATTAATGTATTTAATTATGTTATGTAAATTTTACCTTAAGGAGTTATATACGTAATGTACTATTAAAGTCCTAAGAATATCATAAGAACACTACTTAGAGTTTAAGGTATGTCGGCGTAACGCGCTTTGTCCAATACCCTACTTGAGTAGTAGAAATATGATTGGGGCGGAGGCGTTACACGTGTACACTTCCTCTTACAAATCACCATTTAGAAAAGAATTTTTAACATCTATTTGAAGGAGCCGCCAATTTTTAACAGTACTCGCAATGGCTAATAGATCGCGCACCGAGGTCAACCGAGTCTGTAGGAGCAAAAGTTTCTTCATAATCTATACCATATTCTTGAGTATAGCCTTTAGTGACTAATCGTGCCTTATAGCGTTCAATAGAGCCATCGAACGAGTTTTGATTTTGAAAACCCATTTGCATCCAATTGGAGTCTTGCCGGAAGGGAGATCAACTAAGTTCCAAGTATAAGTTTTCTCCAAAGCTTGAAGTTCTTCATTCATAGCTTGTTGCCAAAGAGGGTTAGTGCTAGCCTCACGATAAGTGCGAGGCTCATGTAATTGTACAATAGCAGAATAACAATGATAATCAAATAAATGAGAAGGAGTTTCTCTTACTTGAGTGCTTCGATGAATGGTGGATTCGGATGCATGAGCCACATTCGAAACGGTTTCAATAGGAGTAGACGTAGAAGTTCAATAGGAGTAGACGTAGAAGTAGGAGTATTATCATTGAGCTCGTTGTAGAATGCTGGATTTGAACTAAGAAATAATTCAATAGCGGGATCGGTAAAAGAGAGAGAGAGTAGTGACGGAGCAATGAAACTTAGAGAGGGAAGAAAACATAGTATTCTCCCAAAATGTTACATGTCGAGAAATACGAAGGCGCCGAGAGATAGGATCCCAACATCTATACCCTTTGTGTTCTATGTCATAACCAAGGAAACAACATAAACGAGCACGAGGTTCTAATTTGGTGTGTTCATGTGGTTGTAGAAGAACAAAATAAGCACAACCAAAAGGCTTAAGGAGCGAGTAATTTGGAAGATTTCCAAAGAGTCTTTCATAAGGAGATAGGTTATTGAGGACCAAAGTAAGAATGCGATTAATGGCAAAGACAAGTAGTGAGAGCGGCTTCTCCTTAAAAATTTTCGGGATAAGAAGCGAGAAAGCAACAAAGTGCGTACGGAGTCAAGGATATGACGGTGTTTGTGCTCGCTCGCCCATTACGTTGGGAAGTATGAGGGCGAGAACGTTGGATAACGAGTACCTTGTTGATTGAGAAAATGAAGCAAAGAGGATTCTTTATATTCCATGGCATTGTCGGTGTGAAGAATCTTAATGCTATGAGAAAATTGAGTTTTAATCATAAGGGAAAATTTAATATAAATAGAAAGCGAGTTCGGTTCGATGTTTTAGAAAATATATCCAAGTAAAGCAAGAAAAATCATCAATAAACAACACAAAATAACGATAACCATTAACCGAGGCAATAGGAGAAGGACCCCAAATATCGAATGAATAAGTGCAAAAGGAGTATCCGAGTTAGAAGTACTAATATTAAAAGACAAAGATGGATGTTTACCAAGTTGACAATCAAAACAACGAAAAGACTCAAATTTAGTAGATCCTAACAAGCCACGAGAAGCTAAAGATCGAAGTTTATTGGCGAAAGCATGACCAAGGTGAAGATGCCATTGATAAATAGATGAGTGTATGGTAGCTGCAGACACAAATCTTTGAGGAAGATGTAAGGAGAAAAGCTCAAATAATCGTCCTACTCTACGACTCGTCCCAAGAATGCGGTCCGTCCGTGGATCCCGAACCCGACAACCAAATGAAGAAAATAAAAAATTTAATCCTTATTCACATAATTGGTCAACGGAGATAAGGTTTAAAGTCAAATTAGGAACATAATAAGTATTTGGAAGGTTAAGATTGGAGGTAGAAGCATGGCCGAGTGTGAGAGATATGCATTTAGGTACCATTAACAATATGTATAGCTGGTAAAGATGTGACCGATTGTTTTAGAGATAAGATATTAGAACTCAAGGTCATGTGATTGCAACATGCGAGTCAAAGAGCCAAGAAGAATTACCCGAGATAACGAACATAGTAGGAGAAGAACCGAAATAGATAACTCTGTTTAAGAAGAGCCTCGAGAGCACTCATAAGTAATGGTAGTAGAACCCTCGGTGGCAACAACGACGAACATATGAAGAGTTAGACTTTGAGAGAGCCCGAGATTTAAAAGAACCATTTTTTGATCGCGGAGGTCGAGCGAGGACAATGTTCCAAGATATGTCCAAGACCATGACAATATCCGCATTCGATAGTAGGACAATTGGCAAAAGCATTACCGGCTTGATGACGAGTGCTTACGGAGTAGAGTTTCAAATTTCGATAAGAAGGCCCGGAATTAGTGGCGGAAAGAACAACCGTAGATGGAGGAGTTTTGTCCGGATCAAGACGTGTTTCCTAAAAAATAATCTCGTGAATGGCGGCATCCAAGGTAGGTAGAGGAGTATGATGCAACAAGGAGGCTCTAATGACCTCATATTCGGACGAAGTGCCATAAGAACTCGAATGAGATGCGAGATGATCTTCACTTATCTTGGCTCGAGATAACCGATTCCAAATAGGTTGAACTTGAGCAAGAAAGTCATTCACGGATTAACCGGCTCCTGTTTGATATTATGGAGGCTAGTCCACAGTCGATAATAGTGAGCAAGACACTGTAGTGGTGTACCGATTAGCTAAAAATCCCATATTTCTTTGGTAGTGTCATAATCGGCAAGCCGGATATGAATGGTTGGAACCGAGGTATTGCGAAACCGTGTGATAATCCGGTGATTCTTCGTCGTCCCAATCGTCGAGTCGATGAGCAAATTTGGCGACGAGACTCATCTTTTTCTAGAATTGGTTTAGCAATGTCGCCGGTTATAATGCGCCGAGTTTGCGTCCAATCAAAAAAAAATTTATACCTTAAACCTATAGATTATAGTTGGTCTTGTTTAAGGTAGTAGCAATAGGTTTGAGAACCTCGCATTTGTCCATGGTAGAACGACAAAACAAGTAGAATTCGGAGGAAAATAAAGAAAATAAAAAAATTAGGGTATTTGACGGAAGAAAACCGATCTAGGCGGGGACATAAGAAATAAGGCGTGAAAGAGAACACGCAGAGACGAGAGGACAAAATATTATCAAGAGAGGGGCGGAGGCTAGGGCTCGATACCATGTGATGAATAGAAAATCATGTATATTTCATGTGTTTTTAGTACATCGACCCTAGATATATATATATATATATATATATATACATAAAATAAGATAGTCTAAAGAAAGGAAACAAAAGCTATACAAGGAAAGGAAAAGTCTGTACATAAAATTCCGTTATCATAAGCCTATTTTATAGCCTATATTATAGGCACTAATACTCGTTAAAACATATCTTCTTTTTCTTTTTTTTGAAATTAAAGGAAAAAAGTAATTAGAATTAGAAAGTACACTTGTGTGTGCTAGAGTACATTATAATATAAATCATCTAGATCATTCAAATTTATTTTGCCATATGTCATTCAAAATGGAGTGAAATTATTCAAAGGCATCTTCCTTACATAGTGTAGGCATTGCAGAAAGAGCCCTCCTATAAAGCCAACTAAAATCAGAGCAAAAAATTGGTTTACCATTATTCATGCAAAGGTGAAGGGTCTGATCCTTTACACCCTTAAATTTGTGAAGAGAATTCTAGATGGCCGTCGTTTCTTAACAGATTTTATTTTTTATAACTCACATAACCAATACTCCTAATAAAATTAAGATTTAAACCCGTCACCTTTTGCATAGAAGCAAAAAGCTATTGGATGGATGAGTATTCTTGTTGATAAGAGTTTCATTTACCATTTCAAACATGCATGATTTGTTGCAACAAATGGCTCACGAAATTGTTCGCCAAGAATCCGTTAAAGAGCTGGGCAAAGGTAATAGATTATGGAGCCCTGCTGATATTTATCATGTGTGACTAAAAATCTGGCAAGTGATGGGCATGATTTTTTTTTCTATTGCTTTATATATGCTGAAAGCGTACCTGGTTAGCGAAGGTTTCTTAACCTTCCAACATAAAAAATCTGGCAAGTGAGGCAAGCTTCTTTGGATCTAATGAATAGCAAAAGGCTTAAGAATCTTCCAATTACCATTAGGAAATTGGCATTTCGTGAAAAAGTAGTTCTGTCTGGCTGCTCAGGTTTCACCTGAGGTTTCATGGAAGATGAAGGATTTGTATTTAGATGGGACAGCAGTAGGAGAAATTCCTTCTTCAATTGCGTCTTGCTCTAAACTTGTTGAATTGCATCTTCAAAATTGCTCACTATTTAAGATTCTCAAGCAATATTTGTAAGTTGAAGTGTCTGGGAAAGCTTAAACTCTCAGTTTGCTCTCAATTTCAGAGTTATCTAGAAATTTTGGAGCCAATGGAATCTTTGAGATACATCTATTTTAGACAGAACAAGAATTACAAAGTTGGTGTCGCCAATTGAAAATAATTTAGTGGGCCTTTCTTGCTTGGAATCGGGAGATTGTGCTGATGAGCTAAATAATACAATGGAATATCTTGTCAAACTGGAACTACCTGGGAGGGATTTGGATTTGAAACACTTACGTAAACTACGTTTAAATGGTTGCAGCGTATCAGAAGTGCCTGAGAGTCTTGGCTGCTTAACCTCTCTAGAAACATTGAATCTAAGCGGAAACAATTTTGAGAAACTCCCTATCAGCATCAGTAAACTCTCTGAGCTGCAGTACCATGGCTTTAAGGAATTGCTGGAAGATTAAATCATTACTAGAGCTTCCACCACAACTACGAAATTTAGATGCACACAATTGCAAATAACTGGCAATCGTGTCGAGCTCAATGAAAGCAATCGATGCAACCATTTTTTTATATTTCGTTTTCACCAATTGCTTCAACATGGACGAGGCTAGTGCCTGCCACTACATCATAGGATACGCCCTATTGAAGATTCATCTTTATACCAAAAGACTACAGTCGGGTGTGTCTCCACTCCAGCTCTCTCTCAGTCTCTCTCTTGAAACCTTTTATAATTTTTCACTGGTCATCCCTCTTATGTTAGAAGTCATTGTTTTCATGACATAGGAGTCTTTTGTTCCAGAAGGGGTTTCTTGTGTTTGGTTCCCTGGACGTATAACTCCACCGTGTTTTGATCATCAAAATTCCAGATCTTCAGTAACAATTCAATTGTCATCACATTTGGCTAAGGACAAGCTCTTGGGTTTTCCTACTCTGTGCTGTTGCTTTGCTTTAGTCTTGTTTTCTTGGTTGTGGTTTCCAAGTTAAATCTAGATGCCTTTTCAAGCTTAAAAACGGTGGTTTCCATGATCTCCGTTGCTATATTGGTGGTTGGTATAGCTGGAAGGATATCAAGGGAAGTCATATGATTGGTTTGGTAAATTTAGTGAGCTCTTAATTGAATTCTACCCAGAAGATATGGACAATAATCATTTTCCTTGTTGCAAGGGTGTGGGATCCATTTACTCTGCGATTGTTGTAAAGAAATTCTGAATTGTTTTGAGTGCAATAAGTGGTTAGAAGACACAGGAACTATAACAGAAGGCTGGGAAACTGTCACTGGAAGACACTCAGAAAACTTCGTAGTCGAATCCTAGAACGAGGAGAGTGCCCGCAAAAGATTCAAAGCACTCAAATGAAACTCATTCAAGCTTTTTAGAATTGCACCAAAAAAGGACCATGTGGTTCTCAAACTTAAGCTGGAGGTCGGCCCCTCCTCGTATGGGCCCAAAACCCATGTAAGTAAAGAAGAAAAAAAAAAAAAAACACTTAAAACTACTGTCTCGTGAGTGACAATTATATAAACCAACGTGGGCTTATTTGAGAGAGGAGCTGGCAGACAACAAGAGAAAAGGAGAGAAGGGACATTTTCGCCGAGAGAGAACGAAGAATCTTTGGGTATTTTCTAAAATCCTATTTAGTGAGATCTAGTTTTTTTTTCTTTTTTTTTTTGCCCTTTATTGTTGTTGTTGTTGTTGGAATCTATTTTCAGGATGATAACTTTGATTTTTTGGGATGATTTGATGCTTTGATGTGGATGCTTTAGTTTAGTTAGGAAAGAATCCTGTATAGTGGAGTGAGTGGACTACGGTCACGTTGTTTTTCTCTCACGGGTTTTTCACGTAAAAATTCATATTATTTATTTTGGTTGCGTGTTTACTTATTTTCGCATTAATTATTATTGATTGTTTCATCCTAATTTTAACACGAAGAGGGAAAAAAATTTCAAACTTGTGGTTTGTGATTTCGTCTTTAATTTTAAAAAATCTCATTGTGTTTCAATCTATATGAAATTCTCTATAGTTTCTCTCTCAAGTTACTGGAAAATATCTTTGTACCAACATATAATATTGTGATTCGATAACTTGATGATTGATTTTTCGTATGAAAATTTTTAGGAACCATCTACCGAGCTAATTAACTTGAATCGAACTGATTAAGCTCTTAATTGCTTTTGTTTTTGCACCCTTTGTTCCTTGGGTGAGCTTCAGTTGGATGCTGCCTCACTTTAAAGGAGCCATGTGGAATATTTTTTAGATGGATTTTCCTCCTCCTACTCGTGTCAATGAAAAGTCCACAATTTCAGCTAAAGAAATTAGAGAGAGAAAAATGACCTGAAAACTTTATTTTCCGGGTCAAAAACATCCAATTTTGATTGTTGTTTAGCTACAACAACTTTGCTTAATTAGCTCAATCCCGTTTATTCTCTTACTTGCTTGCAGGCTGGAGGAAGATGCAAGTTTCATGATTTGTGTCATTGCCAAGGAAAAACATTGCCTGTATAGGAACAAACAAGGTTAGGGGGATTGGATTCGAGACATTCAAACTTCAACATATGAATCAAACGTTTGATTTTTATTCACTATGTAATCTCCTCTCTTCCTTAAAAACAAGTCTGAATTATATCAATTTATGTAGGTCATCCAAATGCTCCTATTCAACTGTTGTACAAGTGAGATATAAGGTATGTATTTCCTCCTTTTTCTTTTAATATATGTACATTCTATAACTGGTCATTTTACTCTTCTCATATTTTTTTATGGAATCTATTTGTTTTCTTTAAACACTGCCAATTAGCCTCTGAAATAATAGAGTTGGAAACAAATATTGGTTCCATAAATGAATAATTTTCACCTAGGTCCTAAAAGCTCTTTGATAATTTCAAACAAGTCATTTAATCCATTTTTGAACTTTTAATTTGATTTCAAATAAGTCCTTGAAACTTATAACTTTTTACCATCGAACTGACTGTTGGCAATTTATTTATAGAGCTCCATTGGATCAACCTAAAAGGGGCGCCTTTTTTTGGACTTTTCTATCAATCTGCAAAGCTCTATTATAAGTATAAACAAGAAAGCCAACAATAATTTTCAATAAGATAATACAAGAAAGTTAACTTTAATTTTCTTTTCTTTCCTTTGAATTCAATTAAATGGAACAACAAATCCCTGATTAATTTTAATTCAATTTCTCAACCTTTAATTTGATTTCAAACCAGTCCTTGAAATTTAAAATTTTATAAATTTTTTGTACCATCCAATCACATAACCTTGGCAATTTATAGACAGAGCTCTACTGTAGTCAAGTATAACTTTCAATTAGATAGAGAGTTGTATAATCAGATTAAGAAAGACCTACGAGACTTCTCCTTTGCCAACAAACTTCTTAAAGAAAAGAAAAGAAAAATAGCGTATTAATTGTAGGTGATGCAATGTCGAGTTGAGTTTGCACAATTTGGCCTCACTAGAAAAAACATGAAGTGGATCAGGTTTTGCAAATCTGTATGCAGAAAAGGTTTCATCTCAGAAGGAGAAAGCGGAAGCCAAAGAAGAAAAGAAAAGTTTCTGTCTTTTGATGCCTTACATACTGTAAGTCATGCCACCCATTTTTGTTCAATATGTAGCTGAGAATCTGTTAATGGTTTATTTTTTCTTTTGATCGTTATTTGAGACTTTCTTTTTTTTTTTTTTCCTTCTTGTACTTGTATAAAGCTTGAACATAATCATCATTTTCCATATATAAATATTGGCATCCTCGTTTTTCATATTAATTGTAGTGATTATGTTGAAAAAAACCTTTGCTTGAATAGTTCTAGAACCAATCTCTATTTATTTGTTTATGTATTCATTTTTGGGAGAAAGCTCTTACTGTAGTTTCTTTCAGTAGTAATGTGATAAAGTGTTGTTTCCCAAGCAATTCTTAACCATCCATAAATGCTTACAAAATTATAATGCAGGGTTTGAAATTGTTATGAGCTTGAACGTGTTCTTATTGTTAGTCTTATTTTCTTCATTTTTGTATGTGGTACCTTTTCAATATCAAGTATTGAACTACTCTAGCAAGGGAAAAAGGAAGTGAAAGTATACTCAAGTAGCCAGTGTACTTATATGCATGATCATGGATCTTGGGAGATTATTAGGATGCTTTAAGAAATTAGAAAATCTTAAATGGACTTGAGCAAATGTTTGATAATCAAAGTTGTACTACCTAAGTATAGCTTCTTTTGTTTCACAACATAATTCATGAATGGCAGCATAAGTAAAATGGAATACAAAATAGTACTGTCAAACACTAAAGTGGAAAAAAAGAAAGAAAGAAAGAAAGAAAGAAAGAAAGAAAGAATATCATATTATTGTAAAAAAAAACAAAAAAGAAAAAAAACAAAAGAAGGATAACATTTATATGCTTAGATGGTTCATTATAATTTACTTTTTTATTTTTTGGTTATTATTGTCATTCTATATCTTTAAATCTTGCTTTTTAGTCTAGTATTCATCCATTAAGATCTCTTGCGTTGATTGTGGTTTAGGAATATTGCTCACTGCTTTCAAGTTATTTTGCCATGCACAACCTTGTAACTCTCAAAAATGGCTTCTTCTTCTTCTGCCGTTCCTCGATGGAAGTATGATGTGTTCCTTAGTTTTAGAGGCGAGGATACACGTTATAATTTTACCAGCCATCTCTATGATGCTCTGCGCCGTAAACAAATCAAAACTTTCATAGATGATGAGCTTGAGAGAGGAGAAGAAATTACAGCATCACTTTTGAGAACAATTGAAGAATCAAAAATTTCCGTGATCATATTCTCAAAAAAATATGCATCTTCTCCGTGGTGTGTGGATGAATTGGTGAAGATACTGGAATGCAAGAAGGAATATGGGCAGATTGTCTTGCCGGTTTTCTATCATGTGTGCCCATCTGATGTTGATGAACAGACAGGTAGTTTTGGAAATGCATTTGCTGAACTTGAAAGTAATTTTAAGGAGAAGATGGACCAGGTGCCAAGGTGGAGAACTGACTTAACAAATGCAGCCAATATATCTGGATGGGATTCACAGGTCATTAGGTAAACCATGTTCTTTTCTTTTGTTTTTACCTTGAAGGTTTCACATGAATATGACTATTTGTGTCTATTTTAGAATTGTTGGCCTGGAGATTGCTATTTCCGAGTTGGTTGAATTGGATTATAGCAAAAATGGTTTAAGGATGGACAGGGCAGAGAATACAAAAAATGAAGTAGAAGGATGGATGTTAACCCATCACCATATAGTTGTTTGGCTAACAAGGGAGTGAGAGGATAGAGACAAGTCTACCAAATTAGGTGGATTGTAATCTATGACCAAGGAGATCCATCCTTCCATTCTTTTGGTCTCCATACACAGTGCCAAATAAGAAAAATGTACTGCTAAATTCACCCATGAAATTGTTATTCCCACCACTTTTTTCTAGACAATCGCCAATGCATGTTTCACCAATTACAAATAACTATTATATAACATATATTGGTTTAGGGTATATTGGTAATTTTCTGGAAAGAAAGAGGTGGGAATAACAATTCTATTGGTGAATTTTGCAGCACCCATGAGAAAAGTATCCCATCCATCTCTCCTTCTATCTTCCCTACCATCCCCTGTTAAATGTCCGTAAGGGCTTCTTAACCCTTGCCAACCTAAGTAGATTTAGTATTTGGTACTTTCCGGACATGATTTTCTTAATTAAAAAAGGGATGGAATTATAATATTTTTAGGACTTCTAAACATACCAAATGAGCAATGTGAAATATTACCTTTCCATGCATCTGTAAATTTTAGAAATGGAATTATATAAGAGCGATTGGGATTAGATTTCACATGTATATAATGTACGCATGGCAACTGGATTCTGTCACAAGGTTCAAGTGTCGAAAAAATATATATTCAAAGATTAAAAAGAAAACAAAGATCACGCTGCTTTTATCATGTTTCTCTGAGGTACAATTGGACTTGACTATTCGTTCTTCATCTTGGTAGGCCTGAGTCCAAACTCGTCAACGAAATTGTACAACATATTTTGAAGAAATTGAACAATACATCCTCAAGTGATTTGAAGGGCCTGGTCGGAATGGATTCACGGATGGAGCAAATCAAAACATTATTATGCACTGAGTCACCGGAGGTTCATATTGTAGGAATTTGGGGCATGGGTGGTATTGGTAAGACAACCATTGCCGGAGAAATTTTCAACCATCTCGCAAGGGAATATGAAGGTCACTATTTTCTTCCAAATGTGAGGGAGGAATCAGAAAAGTATGGAGGATTATCTCGTATGCGAGACGAACTTTTTTCCAAAATGACAGAGGAAGAAAATCTACATATTCGCACTCCGTGTATTGGGCACACTTTCATTAAAGATAGGATCTGCCGTAAAAGGGTTCTGATTGTTTTTGATGATGTGAATGATGTGGATCAATTGGAACTGTTATTTGGAGGGTGGCATTCATTTGGTACAGGAAGTAGAATTATCATAACATCGAGAGATAAACAAGTGCTTAAGAAATATGCAGATAAAATATTTGAGGTTGGGGGACTGAATGACTATGAAGCTCTTCATCTCTTTAGTTTGCATGCATTTAAGGATAACCAGCCCCCATACAATTATATGGAGCTGTCTGTGAGGGCAATAAACTATGCTAAAGGCAACCCATTAGCTCTTAAAGTTTTAGGATCCTTTCTATTTGACAGAACGAGACCAGATTGGGAAAGTGCATTGAACAAGATTGAAAGATTTCCACAGCCAAAAGTTCATAAGGTGTTGAGAATAAGTTTTGATGAGCTTGATAATGAAGAGAAGAACATATTTCTTGATATTGCATGTTTTTTTAAAGGGCAGGAAATTGATTTTATAAAGAGAATACTAGATGCTTGTGGCTTCTCAACTGATATTGGAATTAGTGTTCTTGTGGATAAGTGTCTCATTACCATTTCTGGAAACAAGATAGGGATGCATGATTTGTGGCAGCAAACGGCCCATGAAATTGTTAGCGAAGTATATGTTAAAGAACCAGGAAAACGCAGTAGATTGTGGCATTTTGATGATGTTTATCAAGTGTTGACCAGAAATCTTGTGAGTGCCATATGCATAATTTCTCCCCTTTTTGGTGTTACTAGACACTCATCTTGGCTAGAAATAGTGTTATATGAAGTTGTTCAAACTCTCTCCTTCTATGCATTTATTTTATTTATCTCATTGTTCATGATTGTCTTTTTTTCTGTAATTTTTTAGGGAACTAGCAATGTTGAAGGGATATTCGTAGACCTGGATAGTTCCCAAAAGATAATGAAGTTGAGTTCCGTGGCATTTGCAAGGATGTATAATCTTAGATTGCTCAAAATTTATAATTCAGGATGCGGAAATAATTGTAAAGTGCTCCTTCCTCAAGGCCTAGAGTCTCTTTCCGATGAGTTGAGGTATCTCCACTGGGATGGATATCCTTTGAGATCTTTGCCTCTAAATTTTTCTCCACAGAAACTTGTTGAAATTAATCTATCTTCTAGCAAGGTTGAACAACTTTGGGAAGGAAACCAGGTATTTCAGCAACTACAAAATACAACACACACATTTTTTTCTCTGTTAAAATGAACTATGGGAAATATGGATGCTAACTTTGTTTCTCAATTATTTCTATCAGCATCTTGTAAACTTAAAAGAGATCAACCTCAGCAATTGTGTGCATCTAGCAGAAATCCCAGACCTCACACAGGCTGCAAATCTTGAGAGTTTGAATCTTCAATTCTGTACAAGCTTGTTAGAAGTTCCCAAATCTATTCAATATCTTGACAATCTCTCTGATTTCAATCTGAGATCCTGCACGAGCCTTATGAGCCTGCCAAGTAGCATTAATTTGAAATCACTCAAGACTCTGAACCTTTCTGGCTGCTTAAATCTGAATAAGTATCCACAGATGGCAGAGAATATACAGTACTTAAATTTGAATGAGACTTCAATCGAGGAACTTCCCCAGTCAATTGAGCATCTTGGTAGGCTTGTTGCATTGAATTTGAGGGATTGTAAGCAACTTCGAAATCTTCCAGGGGAAGTTTGTTTGTTGAAATCTCTTGAAATCGCTGACCTCTCTGGCTGCACAAATATCACCAGGTTTCCAGACTTTTCAGAAAATGTAAGATATTTATACTTGAGTGGAACTGCAATAGCAGAGCTTCCATCTTCAATCCATCGCCTTTGTAGACTGTTTGCTTTGGATCTAATGGATTGCAAAAGGCTTAGGGATCTTCCAATTACTATTTCAAAGGTGACATCTCTTGAAAGACTTAGTCTCTCTGGGTGCCCAGCCATCACCAAGTTTCCAGAGCTTCCAGTGAGTATAAAGGTGTTGTTTTTGGATGGGACAGCAATAGAAGAAATTCCCTCATCAGTTGAGCATTTGTCCGAACTTGTTGAATTGCATCTACAAAACTGTAAAAGATTTGAGATTCTTCCTGGTAGTATTGTTAAGATGAAATCTCTGCAAAAGCTCAATCTTTCTGGATGCTCCCGATTTCGGACTTTCCCTACTGTGGATAGAGTTGAATATTGGTTGAGTTACCTTTGTGTAGATGGAACAGCCATAAGAGCATTCCCCTGGACAATTAGTACTCTATTTCCGGTGTCTCGGTTGGAAATGAGAAATTGCAGAAATCTGGATTGGCGCTTGCAGTCCCATTATAGAGATGTTAAATTAAAACTTTTGCGTCAACTATATCTAAATGAATGCAACTTACTTGACATGCCTTGGAGTCTTTCCTTCTTAACCAAGCTAGAAGTACTGGATCTAAGTGGAAACAGTTTTACTCTATTGCCTACATTAGCGAAACTCCGTAATCTGGAATATCTTATTTTAAGGAATTGCTTTAAACTTATATCTATTCCTGAGCTTCCACCAAGTCTAGTGAAACTAGATGCACACAATTGTTCGTCAGTTTGTGGCCTATCAGACAGATGTTCAGAGGTTGAGGGAAATATTTTTGATTTCCTATTAACTAACTGCTTCAGCTTGCATGGCAAAACTGTATGCAAATACAACATCATTGAGTATTCCGTAAGGAAAATTCAGGTTTATGCCAAAAGACTATATACACAGGTTTGTCACTTCTTGTTTTGTTTCGTTTTTTTTTTTCCCCTCCCACATACCTTTTAATTTTAATGTTCATCTCTCATGTTAAAAGTCATGATTTAAATGGAACAGATGTCATCTGTGCTGCCTGGGACATCTAGTGTTTGCTTCCCAGGAAGAAACATTCCAGAGTGGTTTGGCCATCAAACTCAAGGATTTTCATTAACAATTCAGCTGCAGTCAATATGTGCTAATAATCAGTTCCTGGGTTTTGCTCTGTGTGCTGTTGTTGACTTTGGATTCTTATTCAAAAACTCTGGTGGATTCCAAGTTAAATGTATGTATCATTTCAAGAATGAATTTGATGGTGGCCATGAGCTCCATAGCTATTTTGGCGGTTGGCTTGACTTGGAGGATGTTCGAGAAATCTCAAACAATGTGTTGTTCTTGGGGTATGATCCATGTTTAGAGTGTACAAAATATGATTGGTTTGGAAAATGCAGTGAGGTCATAATTCAATTCTACTCGGAAGACAGGAACAACAATCCCTTACAGCATTGCAATGTGATCAAGTGTGGGGTCTGTCCACTATCTGCCCAAGATGATAATTCCTGTGATTTCATCATGCCACATCCCCCTGATCAGAGTCCCGCCTTTGTCCCTACCATTAATCCTACGGAAGCCGAAATGACCATAAATTATTCAAACCAATCAAATGAGACTGATATAAATGCAGTGGGGAATTGCATGGAAAATCAGCACTCTTTATCCCAGCAAAAAGCCTCGCCTGTTGATCACATCTTGCATACCTCAACAAAGATTCAGGTTAGTTTACACTAAGTTCCGGGTCTCTTTCTTCAGAAGTCAGCTTCAAATTTTCTCTCTACATATCTTTTCTGCCAACGCGTCTGTTATCTATGTAAAGTTTTTCAAACCAATCTAATCATACTGATATAAATGCGTTGGGGAATTAGATGGAAAATCAGCACTCTTTATCCCCGCGAAAAGCCTCTACTGTTGAACGCATCTTGCATGGTTCAACTAACATTCAGGTTAGTTTAGACTTCTCTACTTGCACTAAGTTGCTGATCTCTTTCTGGCTCACACTTGTTTTCCATGTGAGTTTTTGGAAATTGGAATTCTTACTGCAGTATATATTTTCTCCTACAACAGCCAGTCAATTTTGTTCTTTATTTTGATTAAACTCTAGTTCTTTCCTCTTTTTTAATTGTTTCTCTTCATAATCTTAAGAAGTTGTTCCATGACTTCTAAAATGCTTTGCTTCCTGTCTTGCACTTTGTGTTCTGCCTCTTAAAATCAAAAGCTGTTATTGGTGTATATTGGAATATGAGTTCTTCTTTATGTCTAGCTGATTTCTATTTCCAAAGTTTATTGTGTGATTGTACAATCTTTTGAGATCACTCCATATAGATATACTGTAGCAGCTTTGAGATTTTCATTCATAAATTTTTTACGCTAATATAACATCCTGTCACCTGGTTTCAATTATTTCTGCTCACTGTCGAATCATAGTGGTTGCTGTACAGCAAACTAGCCTCAGTCTCTAATTTTCACACTGATTTCGGCCTCTTGATATTTTTAAATTGAGAAACTCTCTGGACCGTATGCCCATCACCTCCAACATAACAAGTGTAAAGCACAGAAACAATTTCTAATTCAGTTTTGCATATTTGTTAGAGGATCCCTTCAAACAGTATTGCTGACATGGTTCTATAAACCAAAATAACATTTGAACTTTTCTGAAGGTGGTGAGGATGTTAATCTCGTTTCAAAAACTGCTTTGACATCCATAAGAAAAGTCTACTTCTAATCTTCTGGGTTGGTTTTTGCCTTAATGCCATCTCAAATGATCAACTTATTGCAATATATATACCCAATGTTAAGAGGACAGCATTCTGCAATCCCCATGTGCATATCACATATTCATTCAATCTAGATACTAGAGAAATAATTTCACTGTAGCTCGGAACCTTATTTAGTGGTTGATTTAAATATGTTTGTATTCAAGGTCAATTCACTGTTTTCTCACATTATTAATCTCGTGCCATTGTTTCTGTGAGAGTTGAAGAAAGTCTCAGGCTTAAGGCTTAAGAGTCCTTAAGTGATCAAGTGTAGAATTAAGACAACAAGATATTCATGCTATAGCATCACACCACGTAGATATTGAATTGCTATTTACAAGTTAGAGCACAAATAGCTTTCAGAAAAATAATAAGTGGGCAGATCTGCATATGCTTAACTTAACCCACCGGCTATTGCTTGTCAAGTGTAATGAATTTTGAGGTCTCTTGATAAGGATTTAGTATTTCTAGAGGAGAAAAGGATTTCAATTTAAATGATTATTTTTTTTGTCTTAGGCATGGACTCGGAGGTTATGGCAAAGGGTAACCCATCGATTGCCTCGAACGAGCAAAGAAAATCCTCATTAGTTTCAGATCAGAGTATGTTTTATTTCTACTCTTTTAATGTACTCGAGATGATGACTACCAAGAATTGACAGGATTATCACTCTCTCTCATGGTTTCCACTAAGCTAAATTTGTTATGTTTAATCTTCTTATTTGTTTTCTTGCGTAAAGATTCTGGATATTTTGATGCTTCACCTGTTGTCCAATTTACAGAGTTTTTATTTGTTATCCTGTAAGCTTTTAATTGTGTCATGGCAGCCTAATGTGTATTTTTGATGTTTCACGCATTGTCCAGATCATGAGTTTCACTCATCATAAGTTTATGTATCTGTAGTACTCTTCAATGAAAATACTGGATTTCTTAAGTTTACGAATTCCTAGAAAAGTATAGCAGACTTGATAACCAAGAAACATTTCAGAGGAAGGTAGTTCATTTTTATTTGTTATGCAAATTCCTGGAGAATTGCAACAATTTTGATGCGTCTTTCCGTTTCTAGGGAATTAAAATTTTGATATATCATGCAGAAAAAAAAAAAAACCAGTAATTTCTAGATACTTGGTTGTACATTATGTAGTTATCAGTGAGAAGAGCAAATTATTATCTCGAATAGCGGGGAAAACCTCTCCCTTGTATAGCTGGGAGAAGGGCTAGGTGGACCTTAGCGGCCTCGGGGGCCATGTCCACCACAGCATCTTAACCTTTTTTTGTACCTTCATTCTCCTCTCTTTCAAATATAAAATAATTTTTATTCCCCATGTTTCCTTCCTCCCCTGTCCCTCTTTTTCTGTATTCTCTTCCAGACATATTAAAGTTTAAAATAGTGAATGACTAAATCTATTTTTGCAAGTGGATTAAGGTTTGGAACGCAGGTCGGATTGACAATATATATATAAAAGACCAACATGTTATATTATACTAAGAAGTAATTCAAAAGCACCTTTTAAAATAACTGTAACGAAAAGGAATTATACTCCTTGACACAACTAGTTTCACGCAATGTATAGCAAAAGATAGAGATTTGTTTGTAATTAAAAAAAACTACAGACCTGTAGGAAATCACACAAGTAAGAATAATCTCAGAATAATTGATGACGGCAAAGGTCTACAAACATTATATATAGTTTTCCTAGTTAACCAAAGGCTAAATAGAAAATAAAATCAAACTTGAAGTCTGGAGAAATAATAACAGAAATACGTAAACTAGGAAAAGAAATAAAATTAGAAAGTCATAAGAGTAATCTATATATGTCCTGCAGATTTGAATCACAAAAAGAGTTTGAAAGTAGGCCTTCAGAGTGGATTGTGGCCTAGAAAATAGCATTTGATGGCTTTGCCATTAGATTGTGGGCTTCTGAATGAGCTTCTGATATATAAGATTTGCACAATTCAGACATCCAAATTAAAAATTATAGCACATAAAAAGCATTTACCCTTTCAAGCTATCTTTTTAAACTTTGTTTGTTGATCTGGTTTATGTATTCTTTAGTTAGACATCCCACGTCAAAGTTGAAGTTTAAAAATGATGAAAGGGGATTGAGCACAGCTGCAACAAAAAGTATAATTCCAGATACCTCTCCTTTGATCCGAACATAAAAGAATGGTCGGTCACAAAACTCGGAAATGGAGGGGGTAATTATCGATATCCTGCAGATCCAACTAAACCAAAAGCAGGGCAAGTAGTAGCTTTTGTACCTTTCTCATTGACAGCTTTTGATGGGCTAAATAGATTGGCTGGATAATTTTTGCTTTTATAATGTCTGATTAGATTGCTTAACCGACTTCTTAGATGGAATTCTATGATAGATGTTGGATCGGATCCACTCAAAGCTAAGGCTTGGTCTCATAATCTTGAACCTAAATTTTTGGGTTACATAAACATTTTTCTTTTCCTCATTCCTAACCAATGCATGATTTCTTCATTCACATGTATGACTGCATAATCTCTCATTCATTTAGAGTCTTTCTTTCCTTCTAATAGGAGGAGCAACTTTAGGATTCGAGTGCGCAGTGTTCTCAAAACTTGGGTCTACATCTTTGTAGAATCAAGAGGTACATCTAATTAAAGGAAGTTAAATAGATCTTAATAGAATAAAACAAAACTTTATGAATGGATATAAAAACTCATGGCAAACACCTTTAGGATAAGCAACAAATAATATATAGGTAATTATATGTAAAGAAAATGAATTTCTTTCTAAGATATAAACACAAGATAATAACATAAAGAGTGTAAAGATAGAAAGATCAATCACAATAATATATTCTAGTTTGGTCATGCTTACATTCAATATCCAAGTGCCACTTGAGATTTCTCAATCCACTGTATATTCTTACTTGAACAGACGAGGAATAAGTCTTTTGCAACTCTAGTCTATCCTTGAATTGAGTGCTGATTTGGTGCTACTCTCACTTCAAAAATATATATTTCATTAAAAATTAATCAATCAAAATTAAACGCATCAGCACAATATAAAAGACAAATTAAACTCTTAAGAAAGAGTAATTAATATGCAAGTATTTCTTTTCTCCTATTTCTTCTCTCTTTTCTATGTCTAAAATGCATAGAAAAGATGGTTATTTATAGGAATATCGATAAAGTAGTCATTACGCCATGTAAGGAAGTACCAGTTGTATAAAATTCTAACAATAGAACAAGATTATGTCCAAATTCGATCAGCTTAGTCATTCGTAAGCCTTAGCTCGGCTGGTTTATTGGACCAAGGGTTTAATCAATCTTTATTTTGATGCATCAAACCATTAATGTTGAGTTATTGATGATTTGCTTTGATAATATATTTATAGGTTTATGATTAAATCCAAAGCATGTGAAAGATTATATCTCGAATGTGCTCAAAGATTACATTATGGACAATATAATTATCAATACTTCAAGATGACTTTATTTATGTTACATAAGTTTATTATTGGATAAAGTATGACAATGAATGTATATTTATAATAATTACTCCTGTGGTATTTTTTTTTTTTAGTGTAGTGCATATTGTGTTTACATCACATGCATTAAAAAGACTTAAAGGACCATAATTTTAGCTTGGTTTATGATTGAAACCGAATAGAGGTGATTAATTTTTTCTCAATGGGTTCTTGCATTTCTCATCTTCCGCGTATGGTTTTTAATTTTAAACATTCTCTTTTTGTCTTCTCCTCAGTCAAATTTAAAATATATCTTTGGTCTCTATTTTTATCTATTTTTTCAAGATAAGATATTTTTTAAAGCATGTGACACTTTAATAGAGACTTTAAATCTTATTTATAAAAGAGACACATAGACATTCATGTAGACAAGAAGGGATGATCTCTTTCTCTCTCTTTCTCTTTGATAAATGATGCATCGTTTTGATTCTATTTGATAACATATTTTTTTTAAAAAAAAAACCGATGTATTAAATT